TCAGCCTTTTTTTTTTTTTTTCTTTTTAGTTATTTTGTGGATAGGATTTTTGCCCAGGGACTGCCTCAGACCATGATCTAACTACCTACAGCTTCCCATGTAACTGGAAACACAGATGTGTGCCATCACAGTCAACTTACTGATTGAAATGGGTTCACACTAGTTTTGCCCAAGCTGGCCCCAAACCAAGATCCTCCCAATCTGTTCCTCCCAAGTAATTGGGATTATAGAAATGGGCCACCATGTCCAGACTAGTTTTTGTTAAATCTATAGGATTTATTATTTTAGACTTCTAATTCATAGATCTTGTTGGATAATAAAACAATATTTTTGTTTTAATGATATCAAGACTGCATTACATAACCGGTTTTGATGTCTTGAATGCTGTTGATAAATATTTAATATTAGTAAATATTGTTAAGAACATAGAATTCTCAGGCAGGTGTGGTGGTGGATGCTATAATCCCAGCATCAGGAAGCGGAGGCAGGTGGGCCAAACTTTCAAGGCCATCCTCAGCTACATAGCTAATCTTTGTCTCTGCCCCACCCCCACATCAAAAAAAGAGCATAAAATTGAAAAGAAAAGGTCTTTTAGACACTAGATTTAAAATCTTAAAAGTGCTCAGAAATAAGTAGCATAGTGGCATACATCTGTAATCCCAGCAGGAGGCTGAGGCAGGAGAATTGTGAGTTTGAGGTTAGCGTGGGCTACGTAGTGACATGCTGTGTCAAAATATTTTTTAAAGTTTTCATATATAGTAACAGTAGGAATATTAAAACTGTGGGCAACTCTCTTACATAAACTGCCTTCCCCGGTGCAAATTAGACAACACAGATAAATGGGAAAAAAAAGGAGGTTGAATCTTACGTAGATGTAGAATTGACTGTTAGATGAATTGGCCCTAGATAAATTGATATAAAGCTTCAAGTATATGCAGAAATAAAATACAACAATGAAAAAAGGAGGACTTACTTTACTGCTCTTTTTCTCTGAAAGTTCAATGAATAATACATCTTCAACATACCTTCCTTTGTAATATCAAGTCAATTTTTTTTTTCTTTTTTTTGCAACAGTGTCTCTTTGTAGCCCAGGCTGGCCTTGAACTCTTGATCCACCTGCCTCAATCTGCCTAGGGGGTTACAGGCATGCATCACCATGCCCAGCTTCAATTCAGTCTTTAAAAAGTTTTGCCATTCTGAACTAGTGGAGTTGCTCAGGTGGTAGAGCACCTACCTAGCAAGCATGAGACCTCAAACCCTAGTACCAAAAAAAAAGTTTTGCCAAACAGTATTTGAAGAGTTAAACTATACAAAATTTAATATCCTAACATAGACATGTCTTTAATAAACCCTGCTCTATTACATCACTTATACTTAGGAGTATTAGAAAAAGTTCAACTCAAATGTTTTCTTCACCATTCATCTATTTAAAAAATTACTGGCTGAGATTGTGGCTCAGTGGTAGAGTGCTCGCCTAGCATGCAAGAAGCCCTGGGTTCAATCCCCAGCACCCCCCCCACACACACACACAAAACAAATTATTGACTGCTTGTTATGTGCTGTTGTGAACAAGATTAATGTGGTAGTAGAAGGTCAGTAAGCTGCAACTCAGAGAGTTTGCGTTCATATGCTTTTTATTTTGTTAGTACTACTTTAGACAAGTCATTTCATATCTGTGACTCTTCCTTGTGAACACATTCCCTTATATTGTTTTGGGAATCGGTTAACTGTTACGGTTTTTTAACTGATTTAGCAGCATGCAAATATTAAGGTCTTAACTATTATGAGATTGTAACTAACTGGGTGCCAGTTGGCTCACATCTATAATCCTAGCTACTTGGGAAGGCTAAGATTCAAAGGATCAAGGTTCAAGCCCAGCCAGGTAAAGAGTTGGCAAGACCCCATCTCAACCAATAGCTAAACTCGGTGGCACACACCTGTCATCCTGTGCTACAAATAGGCTAAGATCAGGAGGACTGGGAGGATCCAGATCCAGGCTGGCCTGCACAAAAAGCAAGATCCTATCTCAGAAATAACCAGACAAAAAAGGGCTGGAGGCATGGCTCAAGTTGTAGAGCACCTGTCTCACAAGTACAAATCCCAATATCACCCCCCCAAAAAAAGTAAATAAAATATGATCATTCTCAAGAAAGCACCTTCCATTTATCACTATGTGGATAGTTATGTACATAAGTAAAATAAAACTGTTGTTAAAAATGTGATGTACTATCATAGGCAATTAGGAAATAAAACTTCAAAAAGGAAAGAATTCCTCCAGTGAAGAATGGAAAGGCAAATTTTTTTCAGTACTGCAGTTTTAAAGTTCTTAAGGAAACAGAACCAAGAGAAGTTTGTCCCTTCTCTCTCTCTCTGTCTCTCTCTTTCTCTCTCTGTCTCTCTCTCTCTCTCTCTCTCTCTCTCTCTCTCTCTCTCTCTCTCGTGCTGGAATCTCACTGTAGAGTCCAGGCTGTCCTGAAACTCGAGATCCTCCTGCCTCATCTTCCCAAGTGCTGGGATTACAGATTTTCACTACCATGCTCAGAACTTTCCATTTTTGTCCTTCAAAAAAGAGAAAATGAAGGGAGCCTAAATTAAAATAGCATATACTATACTTGATTCTGGCTTTTGAAGAGAATCTTGATGTTATCTGCAAGTTTCTCAGGGTTAGGTTTTTTTTCCTAGCAAATGTATTTCAGATGCTGATTTGTACTTGCCACTATCAAAGAGGAGTATTTTCGGTGGAAATCAGACTTTGAGTAGTATGTTAATCTAACTAAATTGCCATAGAAAAAAATTTTCAAATTCACTGTATAGTGTGGTGGCAGTTGTTTTCCACAATCCTGTTTTCCCTTGTCAACCTCAAATGAGCAATAGACCAACTCTCCAAAATAAAGTTTATTTGGGAATCCCAAGGGATTGCAATCCAGGATACCTATGTTTTATGGCAGACCATAGGTAATGCCGAAGGAGGTTAGGGCAAAGGGAATCTTTTTTTTTTTTTTTTTTTGGTGGGACTAGGGTTTGAACTCAGGCTTCATGCTTTCAAAGTAGGTGCTCTACTGCTTAAACTGCACTTCTCGCCCTTTTTTGCTCTGGCTATTTTGGAGATGGGGTTTCAACAAAGTATTTGCCCAGGCTGGCCTCAGATCCTCAGTCCTCCCGATTTCAATCTCCCAATAGCTAGGATTACAGATGTGAGCCACCGCCGCCCAGCTAAGGGGAATCTTTTTAAAGAAAAAGTAGTCCACATGAGTTATTTTGAAATAAGCATCATTGGCTACAGGAATTACTACAGGAGTTGTTGACTACCAGCTGTTACTAAGGAGAGATGTATATAGAAGTGACTAATTTGGGGGTCTTGAATATGGATCAGTGATAGAGGGTGTGGATACCATCCACAAGGCCCTAGGTTCAATCCCCAGCACCACAAGAAAAGGAAAAAAGAAATGACTAATCTGGAAGTTTTGTGGTTTAGAGACTCATTGTAATTGTTTTTAGCATAAGTGCACATGAATGAGGACCCTTGTTTTATGGCCTTTGGCTGCATTTTGTTTAGGTTTGACATAAATGACTCCATTTTGGTATTGACAACTTTCACACCCTTTTAGAAAGCAAATAGAGGTTAAAACCCATAGGGAAAAAAAAGTTTTGTTGGCATATGAATTATGCTACTTTTCTATAATGATCATTCAATGTTTTAGCCTAGTCATGCAATGCCTGCATTTGGGTATATTTCCCTTTCTTTAAAAAAAAAGTTTCAGAGTAGCCCATGAAAAAATACTGAGATTAAAGTTTGGTATATTTTGCTTATTTTCTGTATTCAAGTTCCCTGTTGCTCTGAGAAACAGTGATGTGCATGAAAAGAGAACTTTTTTTTTAACTTTTCTTCCTCTCTGACACATCAGTGCTTTAAAGACCAGATTTGTCAGTTCATCTGATATGGTAGGCTTTTCAAGAAATAGGAGAATGAAAATATATAAACCTGTAGGGACTAGAATATTTGTTAATGTAGAACTCAATGTTCTCTGCATATACAAGTTGTACTTTAGAGTAGGAGCAGACCTATGACTAGAAGAAAAACAAACACTTTTTTATTCTAATTTATATCAGATTTATTTCTGAAATATCCAGAAGGAAATAATAGATTCATATGATTTAACAGAAAAAATATTTATTTCATGCATCTTTGCTCTTATTTATTCCTAAACTTTAACTTTTGATGTTAATGTACGTGTATGCTTTTTTTTTCTAGAAACTGCCAGTGTCCAACAGAAGGTCAATTTCTCTGAAGAAGGTATCTGCTTTTTAAATATCATGTAATATATTCTATTTTTCTTTACATTAGAAGTAATTTCAGATATGTAGTTTTTTATTAGAATTTTTTATAATAAAAATATATGGGGGGGATTCATAGTGACAGTTCTGATTAGGCTTATATTGTACATTGGTGCAACATTATCCCCATCCACACTGACAAACACACATACGTTACACAGTAACTATGTCAGTTCCCTCCCATAAAGTAAAAGTTTTCCACTTTTTGATGTTCATCTGTTTGTTTCTCACTCTATTTTAAGGCCTCAGAATATGTCTTTTACATGTTACCCTGAAATATGTTTAGGAAATAATTATGTCTCAGAGAACACCAAATAAATGACTTCAATTCTAGCACATCAGAACTTGGTGGTTCAAAATAGTAAGCATAATAAATAAATGGCAACTCTATATATGATCATTTAAAAGCCTTTGTTTTGATACTGAGTTGTTCATTTGTTTAATCCAGATCGTTTGAGCATTTGAATAAAGACTGTACTAGAATATTATTTATGTTCTTTTAGGAGAAACTGAAGACGATGATCAAGACAGTTCTTACAGTGATGTCACTACTGTTAAGGTCAGATCCAGGGACTCTGTTGAGTCTAGAGGTAACATTGCTTTCTATACATATGACTCTTCTCATAGGAGGACCTATCTTTTTAGTTGAAGTATATAGATATTCTGTGAATTTTCTTTTCTAAAAAAAGACTGAAAGTTTTTATTCAAAAATTTTTAAGTTATATACTTTTAATATTTATTAAAATGACTGATTCTATGTACTTATTTGATAGTAATATAATGGCATCTAATACCTAAATAAATAATTTCCAGCCAGCTTAAATATTTACTTATGGAAATTAGGGTGTTTTTATGTTCAAAAGAATAGTTATGGGACTGGAGGAGTGGCTCAAATGGTAGAGCTCTTACCTTAAAAGTGGAAGGCCTGGTGTTGAGACCTTAGTACTGTCAAAAAAAAAAGAAGAAGAGTTATTTGTTATTTTTGAATTTTATAAAGATACTGGTGAATTGGCATTGCGAATCACCACACTGTCAGGAGTGTTAGGGTTTTTTGTAAGTTTTTGTATTCTTAGATAATTACTTTTCTCTTTTGATTGTTCAAATTCACACCAAGTTAGTATAACAGTCTTTAATTATGCATGTGAATTTAAGTTTATTCAATGAAAGAGTCAACTTAATAGAGAAAAATACTGGCTAATTTGAGGCTTAAGAGGATCCTAGATGAACTTGTAAACTAATAAGTCCCACAGAAAACTAATTCTCTACTTTTCCCTCACCATCTTATTAAAATTTTATTTCCCAACTTGCTCATTTTTTTTCCTCCATTCTCTTCTTCTTTTTCTTTTCTTTTCTTTTTTTTTTTTTTTTTTTTTTGTGGTGGTGAGTGGTTTTTTGAGACAGGGTCTGAACATGTAGCTCAGTCTGGTCTCGAACTTGTGATCTTCCCGCCTTATCCACCCAGGTGCTAGGATTACAGAAATGTACCACCATACCCAGCTTCCATTCTTTCATTGTAGAGAAATCCTAAAAAGAGATATGCAACACTCAGAATAGTACCTAAAAACATGGCCTCTGGAGCCAGGATCCCTCTATTTCCTTCCTCCACTTACCAGGTACATGTCCTCAGATAATTTCATAACTTCTGTATGTTCCTCAGTCTCGTCATCTGGGTTGCTGTGAGGATTAAATTAATTCATGTATGCAGAGCACTTAGAAAGTACCTGGTACATAGTGAACATTCAAATTAAGTGTTATTAATAATTTTCATATGTTTTCAAAATATAAAGCTCTAACAATTAAGAGACTAAGTCATTCATATAGCCAGTAGTTCACTACCATTGCTACCAGCATGTAACCATTTGGAACCACATAAACCCCAGGTCTTACGATTCCTTAAGAATTCTAGTAATTCTTGTGACCTTAATGAAGCCAACATACCCATATGAAGAAGAAAACGCTAGCTAAAGGACCAAGTATTGAGGCATATTAAGAAAAATTCTGATCTTCCAGGGTTGTTTTCTGGGACAGTCATCAGCAAAGGGGTGAAGTACAAGAATATCCATTGGTGTAGGAAGAAAATACTGGACTTCCACTAGAAAGAAAATACTAGAATTTGCTGGAAGCGTGCTTACATAGTAGAGCACTTACTAGCCAAGTTCAAGGCCCTGAGTTCAAACCCCAGTACTCCCCCCCACCAAAAAAAAAAACCCTAAAATGTCATATATTTTTATTTCATCCATTTAAAAATGACTATTCTTGTTATATAATATATACAACACATATATATTGTTTCAGTAGTACATGTTGCAATCTTAGAAAAATATTACAGGAATTGATTTTCAAAAATTTTTTTAGTACAAGTAATAACTATCAAAAATTATCCATTACACTTTTACATGTTAAATGCTTCTGTTTCCAAAATAGCAATCTGACCACTTTTAAACAAATTTCTATATGAAAAAATGTTTCTAAGAAAAGTAGACAGAGATACCTAATACCCACTTGCAAGAAAATTTTAAGGTAAAAGGGATTTTTAAAAGATTCATTGTTGTAAACTTTTAAGTTTTTTCTCAACTGAAAGGTTTCATTATCTCTTCACGCTGTGTTTCATATCTTACAATTTTTTTTCCTTAAATGATGGTTAGGAGGAAAAAAGAAAAAATAAATTAGCTAGCTAATTCTTTAGATACAATGTGACTCTAGAAAACTATTTTTTTCATTCATTTTTTTTTTTCTTTTTTGGGTTGGGGGTAGCACTGAGGTTAGAACTCAAGGCTTTACACTTGCTATGCAGGCACTCTTACTGCTTGAGCCCCTCAGCCAACCCTTTTTTGTTACGGTTTTTCCAAGATAGGGTCTCATGAACTATTTGCCTGGGGCTGGCTTCAAAGCAGGATCTTCCTGAGTAGCTAAGATATAAGCATGAGGCACTGGTGCTTGGCTATAAACTTTAAAATATTTACCCGTCTCGAGTTCCCTATCGTTTTATTTATTTTTGCTCTTTTGATTAAATGCTCAGTTTTTTCTTGTAAAATGGTACTTAACTATTAAAAGATGACTTACAGTATACTTTGTTTTTTTTTTTTTTTTTAGATCAAGTCACCAGACTATCTGGTCAATATCCAGAATCACTTTGGAGGTTTACACAAAGTAAGTGAAGTCATCTTTATAAATCTACCTGTGGGTGTGGTCAATGCTGTTCTTCTTTTTGAAGATCTTCTTTTATAATTTAATATAAATGAGAAAGAGGTATAGTGAATACTAAAACAAACTCCACCAAATATCTTTCTACCTCTTGATTTTTTTTTCCTCTATACACAAACCTGCATTTGAATTTTAAAAAAAACCACTATTGCTTTCTGTGATGTGTTGAATGTCTTTGCTTGCAATATAAATGTGTTGATTGTTATTAATCTAATTGATACATCGTTTGAGTCTTACAACATTGAAATTTTTCATGATCTAATGTTGAGAAAATAGGACACAAAAATATTGGAAAGTAATGTACTAAAATGCCAATAACAATGATTTGTTCAAGATGACAGAATCATTAGTGACTTTTGCTTTTGGCTTTATTTCTTTTTGGTAGTGCTGGGGTTGAACCTGGGACCTTGAGTATGCTAGGCAAGTGCTCTAGCACTGAGCTAGACTCCCAAACCAACATTTTTCTTTCACTTTATTTTCTTCAGTTTGCAGATTATCTGAGGTGAATATGTTTTTTAGATTAAGTAAAATAACATTTTTTCTTTCTCCATTTTTAAATCAAGTTCAAGAATTTGAGTTACTTAATTTGTCAATCTGAAAATATCCTTATATGTAAAATATACAAGAACTTTTTTTTTCTTTTCATATCCTTTTCAAAAATAAGAGACTAGGGCTGGAAATTGCATCCAGAATTTGGGAGGCTGAGTCAGGAGTATCTTGTGTTTGAAGCTAGCTAGGGCTATATAACATGACCCTGTCTCAAAAATTAAATTTAGGACTGTCAAAATGATTCAAGTGGTAGAGTACCTGCCTAGCAACCACAAGGCCCTGAATTTAACCCCTTGTACTGCCAAAAGAAATTTTTTTAATTAAAATAAAAATAAGAAAACGCTTTTAAAGAAAACTGCCTTGGAAACCTATCATATAATTATCGTGTTTGTAGAATTTAATTTTATATACTTCTTTTTTTGGCAAAACTTGGGGTTGAACTCAGGGCCTCACACTTTCTAGGCAAGCCTTCTTATATTTTTTAACTTTAGTATTTAGTAGGTTCTAGGCAAGTGACTATAGACTAAGATGTGAATAAACTACTGAAACGTTAAGAAAAACCATTAGTTAAAAATTACCCCTTTGTCTTAACGTTTACCCTGTTTTATTGTAAATCGTTGACCCTTGGAAGCTTTTAAATATATCTGTCTATGCAATGAATTATCATTCACATATGAAAAATGAGTTAGCTCTTTGTATACTGATGAATAGGTGGTCAAAATAGATTTCATCGAATCTAAGATACTATTGTTTTTATGTATCATTGAGAAAATCCATCCATTTGAACTATGGCACACTACTGATTATAAGATACAGCCTTAAATCAAAGGTATTTTTTTAAAACTACTGATTATTTGATGAAAGAATATATTTTTTAAAAACTGTGTTCAGTTTGATTTTTTTGTGTTGGGGGGGTAACTGGGGTTTGAACTTAGAGCCTCATGGCTTGTTAGGCAGGCGTTCTTCCACTTGAACCACTTTGCCAGTCCTTTGTGTCCAGTTTTTTTATTTTCAAGTTTTTGTTATAGACTGAAAACAAATCAATAAGAATGTTCATCTCTCTGTCTTAGGTACCATGTTTTTCCTACACTTAATGTTTTGCATGTAATAGATATTTAACAGATATTCATGAATTTTTCAGCTATGCATTCCTTCAGTACACACTTTTCTATGACTAGCATTTATTCCATTTGTGTTCAGATAAAAGTAAAGTTCAAAATAAATTTACAATGATATTTGCATGTATCATCAGTGGATAGTTATGAGTAACTTAATACTTCAGGGAAGATTTGAAATTTGCCTTTTTATAATTATGTGTAATACCATTTTAATTATATTATTTTACAGTTATCCTTAAATATCACTTCAGAACTTGAACTTGAAGTAATACCTTCTATTTTGTAGCACTTTGCAATGTCCACAAATTTGCATATGTAATACATAGTATTCTGTGTGGTACAGTGCATGGTTTTCATCTATCTGGATTTTTATCTCAGTACTACTGCTTTTAAATATGTAGGAAAATTATCAATTTCAGTTTCCCCATATTTATAAACTAGGATAATATCATCTAATAGGTGTAAATATTGAATACACTTAGGCTGTTTTTGGTTTTGTTTGTTTGTTTCTGTTCTGTTTTTTGTTTTGTCCTTTGTTTTTGCTGTGCTGGGGATAAACTCAAGTCCTCACACATGTTAAGCAAGCATTCTAGCACTGAGCCACATCACTAGCCCATAGCTGTTATTCTGATGGTACTGATCGTAAAGCTGACTTGTTATTGTCCAATTTCTGAATATTTTGAACTATAGAAAAGGGGAAAAACATGTATATTGTATATGATTGGGACTGGTGAGAGAAAACTTTTATTTTATTTATAGTGCCCATGGTAAACAAGTAAAATGTCATGCAGCATCTTTTTATTTCATTTCTAAATACTCTGTGACCTTAACCCTTTTTCCTATTTTAGGTCAAGACTTCACAGCTCATGATAAGCAACCGTCAGTGCTGGGTAAGTAGTTGATAGTCTTTCTTTGTCAGTCAGTTCTGACTCTGCCTTATTCTACCAACAAAAGGTTCTAGTTTGATTTGTAAGTCATTTCACCTTTGCTCTTTTAACCCATCACACATTGGTATACTATATGCAATAATTACTCAGTGATTCGTAAGTATATTCAGGGCTATCTTACCATATGTTATTTGCCAACATGCATAAATGGTTAACTTTTCTTCTTAAATAGTACTGAAATCCAATGAAGTGTTTTTCAACTTAGTCAGTCTCACAGACCAGAACAAAGGAATTAGACATAGTTTTGTCTATGAGATGACATAGAATTTGCTTGCTGCCTGTTTTGGGAAAGGTTCATCTTCACTGATGTAATCTTGTGAAATTATCTTTTACTTTGGAAATTATTACTTTCATTGTTTTCTTCCTTCCTTTCTTTTTTCTTTCTGATAGATTTATCATATAACACTGAATAGGTGTACAGGCTTTCAGAGTATGTGAAATGATATTTTTATATATGCATTTGCTTCAGGCTCGGCATATCAAAAACCCCCTCAGGAATGGGTTGAACAAACCATAAGAATGAGGACTAAGATGCCAAGTAAGTAGATAAATCACTGTTATTTGCTGTGTTTTCCTTATTTATCTGCCACAACAAAATATTTAGTTCTTAAGGTAAACATTCGTGTTGTTTATGATTTCATGAATAAGGACAGCTATGACTGCTACTTTAGTAATTTCATTTGCTTGGACTGACATCAGATGGACTGGGTATAGAGTGGAGCTAGTGGTATAAAAAAACTAGCGGAATATAGATCTAGGCTTGACGAGCTGTCATTTCTAGGGGCAGTTCAGTCTGTCTATGATAATGAAATTAACCCTTTTGACAATTCTTGTTGTGTGTAGTAGACTTTGTTTAATCTAACTGAAGTGCAACTTTCCATACCCATTATTTTAATAAAGGCTGAAATTCACAAATTGTATTATCATGTTCAGTTTTAGTATGGATTAAATGTCATAGAATTTAAGAAGTACTCATAAATTAATGTGATGAAATGGTTATACTTTACACTTACTGCCTATCATAATTTCTGTAGAAATGTGTCCACATTAGGTCTGGAGATGTAGCTCAGTGGTACTTGCCTAGCATGTGTGAAGTGCTATGATGTCCACATTAGGTCTGGAGATGTAGCTCAGTGGTACTTGCCTAGCATGTGTGAAGTGCTATGATTAATCCTCAAGACTGCAAAAAGAAAAAGAAAATCAGGCCAGGCACATTCCGAACAAAATCCTAACACTCGGTAGGCTGGAACAGGAGGATCAAGGGTTCAAAGCCAGCTTGTGCTTCCTAGCAAGACTCTGTAACAAAATAAAAAAAAGAAACATGTCCACATTAAACTTTGACACTATATATACATTTTTACATATATATAAAAAATCCACAAATGTTCTCTGCCTTCAGTGACCTTTTATCCTTTTCCTTTCCTTTCCTTCCTTTTCCTTTTCCTTTTTCCCTTTTCCTTCCTCCTCCTTCCTGCCTCTCTCTATATAGATAGATAGATAGATATAGATATAGATAGATAGATAGATAGACATCTATATATATATAGGGATTTAAAATTCTCAGGCCTTGCATTTGGTTACACTGGCACTCTACCATTTGAGCCATGCCCAACCCCCATGGCCTCTCTGTAGAAATGTGTCACATTAGGTCTGGAGATGTAGCTCAGTGGTACTTGCCTAGCATGTGTGAAGTGCTATGATGTCCACATTAGGTCTGGAGATGTAGCTCAGTGGTACTTGCCTAGCATGTGTGAAGTGCTATGATTAATCCTCAAGACTGCAAAAAGAAAAAGAAAATCAGGCCAGGCACATTCCGAACAAAATCCTAACACTCGGTAGGCTGGAACAGGAGGATCAAGGGTTCAAAGCCAGCTTGTGCTTCCTAGCAAGACTCTGTAACAAAATAAAAAAAAGAAACATGTCCACATTAAACTTTGACACTATATATACATTTTTACATATATATAAAAATCCACAAATGTTCTCTGCCTTCAGTGACCTTTATCCTTTTCCTTTCCTTTCCTTTCCTTTTCCCTTTTCCTTTTTCCCTTTTCCCTTCCTCCCTTCCTGCCTCTCTCTATATAGATAGATAGATAGATATAGATATAGATAGATAGATAGATAGACATCTATATATATATAGGGATTTAAATTCTCAGGGCCTTGCATTTGTTACACTGGCACTCTACCATTTGAGCCATGCCCCAACCCTCATGGCCTCTGTTCTTGACTTTCATGGAGTGATTGTTGCTAATGTGGAAAAGGATAAACTATCTTTTTAAAAGATTTCTTTCATGTGCCTTCAGTGCCACCACTACAGGAGTGGGAGGGGTGTTGAGGCAAGAGGCAGGAGGATTGTGATTTCAAGGCCAGGACTGTAGGTGTGGCTCCATAGGCAGAGTGCCTGCTTTGCAAGTGCAAAGCCCTGACTTCAAAACCCAGTACCATCACATAAAAAGAAAAAAGGGTGTTATATTGATATTGCCAGGTGCTGGTGGCTCACACCTGTAATACTAGCTATCCGGATGCAGAAATCAGGAGGATTGCAGTTTAAAGCCAGCCCAGGCAAACAGTTCGTGAGACCCTATCTTGAAAATACCTAACACACAAAAAAGAGCTGGTGGAGTGGCTCAAGATATAGGCCCTGAGTTCAAACCCTGATACCACAAAAAAAAAAAAAAAAAAGACTCAAGGCCAACCTGTGCTACATAGAAAGACAAGAAGGAGGGGCTTGGTGGTTCCCAGCTACTTGGAAGGCAGAGAATGGGAGTATTATGGTTTGAGGCCAGCCCAGGTAAAAAGTTAGCAAGACCCCATCCCAGCCAATAAGCTGGGTATGGTGGTGCCTACCTGTCATCTCAGCAATTTGAGAGGCATAAATAGGAGGATCTCAGTCCAGACTAGCCTGGACTAAACTGTGAGATCCTATTTGAAAAAATAAGTACAGCAAAAAGGGCTGGAGACATGGCTCAAGTGGTAGAGCACTTGCAAGTGTGAGGCCAAATTCAAACCCAACTACTGCCAAAAAAAAAAAAAAAAAAAGCAACAAAAGCATTTTCAGAATTTTTGTTACTGTCTCTAATAACTTTAGTAAGAGAGATAATTTAGCTTTCCACAGTGTATTGCCTCAACTATATATATTTATATAAATTATATCCATCTGCTAAGTATGTATTTATACTGTATAACTTATATAAATATTATATATACATAATATTTACTTATTCATCAAACATTATCATAAAATAGCACTTCATTTGACCTTTGTTGCCATGTAATAAGGTATTTAAGACAAACACTATCCGATGGGCTTGGGGTTTTTTTTTTAAATTGTATGGTTGGATTTTGTTTGTTTTTTCAATAATACAGTTGTAACTTTGATGGCCTAACTTTGTATCTTCTAAATAATGGGGTTTCTTAAGCAAAATTAGTAATTAAAAGGCAATATACTTCTTTTTCTTTATGTTAACACATTTTTAAATTAGGATATATTCATTGTACAGGGGGATTCATTGTGATAATTCCAAATAGGCTTATATTGTGCATTAGTAGATAACCCCCACCGTCTCTCCTCTTTGACCCCTCTCCACCCCACTTAAAGCAATTGCAAGAGGTTTCTTTGTTCTATTTCATATAAGTATACAAAACCCATCAACCATATACCCTCACCTTAATCTCCTTTATTCAGCCTCACACTGCACCTATTTTATAGTTCTGTCTTTCATTATTAATATTTAAGTCGATGTTCAAAGGGGTTTCTCAATGTATCCCTGCTGTGAGTATACTTTACTTTGGTCCGTTAAACCCCTTCCATTGCTCTCCCTTACCCCTTTACCTCCCACCCCCCATTTTTTAAGTTTTCAATATATATATCCCTATATCCTCTACTTTCACAGGTATTATGTTTCACACTATTGTTGATGCTCCATCATTCCTTTCCCTCCTTCCCTGAGTTCCATAAAGTAGTTCCACTTTTACAGTTATGTTTTATATATGAGCGTGTATATGATCATGTTTGTTTTTGTGTATGTGTTTATCTTTTGGATCTATCTTCCACATATGAGAGAAAACATGTGGCCTTTGTAAAAAATAGTATACTTCTTAGAGGTAGTCTTGTCTTGTTGTTTTGTTTGTTTGTTTGTTTTTTGTCATATGACCAAAAATGAGGCTATTTCTTTATCTTGTAGTGCTAATTTTATTCTTTGAGTTTATTTAGTCCACTGTTGTTCAAAGCAAACTGTTGATAAACAACTGGAAGATCACTTTGTATATACAAAAGTTATAAAACTCCAGGCAATGGATAGATGACAATATGGTAAATGTAGGTCATACACATGAGATAATTCAGCCTCTCCCATCGCCTGAGCTCTGGCGCTTCCCTCCTTTTCTTTTCTCTTAAATGTTAAAGCCTACTGCCTTGCTAAAAAAGATGGAGGGGCTTATTATTTAACCATGAACCTGAAACACAATTACTGATCTATTACCAGAAATAATGAAAAATGTTAATGTGATTTTTAAAATATTACTAATTGAAAGAGTCAGAAGCCCCAGAGGAGATATTTAAATCTATGTGAGGTAGAAAATCATGAGGATTAAGATTGATTTTCTTATGGAAAGACCTTATCCAGATAGTTTAGTAATCTGTAGTCCACATTTTGTCCTTTTCTCCCTCTTTATAGCATCTTCACTAGGCAAGAGTTCAACATATGGCCATTTTTCAATTGTTTCCTTTTACTGTAGTATGCTTATTTTCTTTATCCTCTTAACTTGTCCCAGAGTTTTACCAGTTTCATTAAATAAGCTTCAAGTCTTCCTCTGGAGACTAAGAATTAAATGTGTGCTTTGCACTAGATCACTGTGTGCTGTGTGTAACTATAAAAGAAATGATCTTGTGTCTTGAGCTTTCAGTGTAATGGGCACTCTGTACTCTGCCTTTTCATCTGACTCAGCTTATTTCTACCCTTTCTCTTGGTGCAATTTATGTCTTCATCTATCAGAAACAAGTGCCCAAATTACGAAACGTAAGTTTATAGTCTTTTTTAATTACTCCTATTTTAGATGACAGCATTCAAAGATCAGAGCTTGGAAACCAATCTCCATCAACTTCCAGTCAACGTAAGTTTATCTGTTCAGCAAGCCTCAAATTGTTCTAAAATATCTGTTGACTGCAATATGGGTTAATGCTATTTGAAGAATCACATTATAAGTACTTTAGAGGGAAAAGTATATATTTAATGTAATGAAATTCTCTATAGCCAAACTATATGAAACATCTAGTTTCTCTTTCACTTTATTGTCCTTAAGACCAAAAATAAAAGTAAGTAAAGCTAATACCATTAACTGAGTAAACCACTGGAATCAGAAGAAGCATAGCGCATAGCTTGGCGTAAGGGGATGGCTGTGGGTTTTGGAGTCCATAGACCTGTATTTGAACTAGATTGGAGCACTTACCAATAGCCTTGGGGCAAGTTTCTTTTATTCTCTAGCCCTGTTTATTTATTTATTTATTTATTTTATTGTTTTATTATTCATATGTGCATACAATGCTTGGGTCATTTCTCCCCCTGCTCCCCCCCCTGCCCCACCCCTCCTTACTACCCACTCACCTCCACTCTCCACCCTCCTCTCCTCTCCACCCCCTTATACCCGCAGAAACTGTTTGCCCTTATTCTAATTTTGTTGAGAGAGAGTATAGCAATAATAGGAAGGAACAAGGGTTTTGCTGGTGGAGATAAGGATAGCTATACAGGAGTTGACTCACATTAATTTCCTTGCGCATGTGTGTTACCTTCTAGGTTAATTCTTTTTTGATCTAACCTTTTCTCTAGTTCCTGGTCCCTTCTCCTATTGGCCTCAGTTGCTTTTAAGGTATCTGCTTTAGTTTCTCTGCATGGGCATGGGCAACAAATGCTAGCTAATTTTTTAGGTGTCTTACCTATCCTCACCCCTCCCTTGTGTGCTCTCGCTTTTATCATGTGCTCAAAGTCCAATCCCCTTGTTGTGTTTGCCCTTGATCTAATGTCCACATATGAGGGAACATATGATTTTTGGTCTTTTGGCCAGGCTAACCTCACTCAGAATGATGTTCTCCAATTCCATCCATTTACCAGCGAATGATAACATTTCATTCTTCATGGCTGCATAAAATTCCATTGTGTATAGATACCACATTTTTCTTATCCATTCGTTCAAGTGTGGGGATCTTGGCTGTTTCCATAACTTATGCTATTGTGAATAGTGCCGCAATAAACATGGGTGTGCAGGTGCCTCTGGAGTAACCTGTGTCACAGTCTTTTGGGTATATCCCAAGAGTGGTATTGCTGGATCAAATGGTAGATCAATGTTAGCTTTTTAAGTAGCCTCCAAATTTTTTTCCAGAGTGGTTGTACTAGTTTACATTCCCACCAACAGTGTAAGAGGGTTCCTTTTTCCCTGCATTCTTGCCAACACCTGTTGTTGGTGGTGTTGCTAGTGATGGCTATTCTAACGGGTGATATGAAATCTTAATGTGGTTTTAATTTGCATTTCCTTTATTGCTAGAGATGGTGAGCATTTTTTCATGTGTTTTTTGGCCATTTGAATTTCTTCTTTTGAGAAAGTTCTGTTTAGTTCACTTGCCCATTTCTTTATTGGTTCATTAGTTTTAGGATAATTTAGTTTTTTAAGTTCCCTATATATTCTGGTTATCAGTCCTTTGTCTGATGTGTAGCTGGCAAATATTTCTCCCATCTGTGGTGTTCTCTTCAGTTTAGAGACCACTTTTTGATGAACAGAAGCTTTTTTAGTTTTATGAGATCCCATTTATCTATCTATCTCTTAGTTGTTGCTGCTGGGTTTCATTGTGAGAAAGTTCTGCATATACTATCCAGAGTATTTCCTACTCTTTCCTGTATCAACTTAGAGTTTGTGGGTCTGCTATTAAGATCCTTGATCCATTTTGAGTTAATATTGATATAGGGTGATATACATGGATCTAGTTTCAGTTTTTGCAGACTGCTAACCAGTTTTCCCAGCAGTTTTTGTTGAAGAGGCTGCTTTTTCTCCATCATATATTTTTAGCGCCTTTGCCAAAGACAAGTTGGTTCTAGTTTTGTGGCTTTATATATGCGTCCTCTATTCTGTTCCACTGGTCTTCATGTCTGTTTTTGTGCCAGTACCATGCTGTTTTTATCATTATTGGTTTGTAATATAGTTTGAAGTCAGGTATCGTGATACCTCCAGCATTGTTCCTTTTACTGAGTATGCCTTGCTATTCGTGCTCTTGTGTTTTCCATACAATTCACGGTAAATTTTTCAATCTCTTTAATGAATGTCATTGGAATTTGATGGGAATTGCATTAAACATGTAATTAATTTGGGAGTATAGACATTTTTACTATGTTGATTCTACCAATCCATAAGCATGGGAGATCTCTCCACTTTCTATAGTCTTCCTCAATCTCTTTCTTCAGAAGTTTATAGTTTTCCTTGTAGAAGTAGTTCACATCTTTTGTTAGGTTTACACCTAGGTATTTGATTTTTTTTTTTTGAGGCTATTGTAAATGGAATTGTTTTCATATATTCTTTTTCAGTTTGTTCATTATTAGTGTATAGAAATGCTAATGGTTTTTCTGTTTTAAAATTGTACATATTTATGGAACACATGTGGTGTTTTAATGCATGTATATATTCTGCAATATTTCTGTCAAGTTAAACATACCTATCTCCTCAAGTATTTATCATTTTTTATGTTGAAAACATTTAAAATCCTTTCTTCCAGCTTTTGGAAATATATGGTAAAATATACAGTACATTATCTACCAGCACCCTACTGTGCCGAACCACACCAGAACTACCTACTCATATTGATTAACCTATTCTCATACCCTTTCATTCCTACTATCCCCAGCTTCTGGGAACCTTCATTCTGTTCTCAACACTGATGAGATATATGCGTAAGATCATATGATGCTTATCTTTCTGTGGTCTTAGTAACATTTAGTGAAATTTTCACATTTGCTGCAATCAGTCTGTTAACAATATATCATTTTGGTTGAAGTATCTGTAGGAATACTGCATATATGAAGAATTTTAGTAAGTTTTTTTCAGGTAGGTATAGGTATTCTTTTTTGATACTCTCCAAAATTCAACAAGTAGTGGTTTCTTAAGGTGTTGTTTAGAAGTGATATTAATGACCTTTTTGTACTCTGTTACATTAAATTTATTAGTCTTTCTTATAGTTTGAGTGAAAATGTCATGCACTGGTCATTTGGAAAATATTGGCTCACAAAGAAATGCAGATTTTTGTCAAGTGTGGTGTCACATATTTATAATCCCAACATTGTAGAGGAAGAGGCAGGAGGATTATGAGATTAAGGCCATCCTGGCCTACAAAGCTAGACCCTGTTGTAAATATATATGTATACAATTTTCTAAATGTTGATACATTAGAAATATAGTATGAAAGATCACATTTGTTAATATCATTACCAATGTCAAGACGTACAAAAAGTTAAGTATTGAAAGCTGTCAACCTCATAGTGGCAGATTCAATATTCCCCAAAGTCCTAATTTTCACTTGAAATCCTGATTGTTATAATTGACAAGTATTGCCAGTTGCTTTCCTAAAAGAAACAAACTTACCAAGAAAATAGCTGGGACTGGAGGTATGGCTCAAGCCAGTATGCAAGAATGCATACTTAGCAAGCATGAAGCCTTGAGGTCAAATCACAGTACTACCCAAAAAAATAGCTGCCAGATAAACAGATGTGCTTAACCATAGTTTATACTTGTTCTTTCATGTAAAGATGATATTCAATAAAAAAACTGCACAAAGTTCTTTTCCTGAAGACAGTCATTGTACTGTGCTATGCAGCTGAAGCATTTTGTGTCCACTTCCCATTTCTTTACATAGAATATTGAGAAAATAGGTACTCAAAATGATTATCTTAGGGGGTGGGAAATTGTGGATCAGACCCAGGTCTAAGTGCTGTACCACTCAGCTGTACTCCCCAGCCCAAGGATTGAGATTTAACAAAATCATTTTAGCTGCTTCATGAAGGACAATTCTTAAATGGAACTGGCCTCCTTTTTAAAAACCTTGAATGCATGGCAATGAAAATACAAAAAGTATACTACACAGTTTCGTGCCACTGTCTTGGTTATTTTGGTTTTGATTTTTATGCTTGGACTTTTCTGTTTTTTGTTTTGTTTTTTTTTTTTGGCCATGCTGGGGTTTGAACTCAGGGCCTCATGCTTGTTAGGCAGGTGCTCTACCGTTTGAGCCACTCCACCAGCCTGTTACTTGTTTTTTGAGGTAAGGTCTGCTTTGTAGCCCAGGCTGTTCTCAATACCCAACTCTCTTGCCTCAGCCAAGTACTGGGAATATAGGAATGCTCCACTATGCTAGCTCAGTGCCATTGCCTTGTGATTCATGCTGAAGCATCAAAAGGTTTTCCCACCACTGCTTTTGCACTGTCTGTGCAAGTGTCAACATAGTGGTAGAAGTCAAAAGCATCTTACTGATAGAACCTCACTGACTACCCTACAATTGGATCTTGACATACCCCACAGACTGTACTTTGAGATCTGCTCTAAAAGGTTCCTAGTACATTTATTAGACTAAAGCAGTCAATTAATACATGAAAAGTATAAAAATATTATTTTTACTAAAGTGTCTTTGATTATCTATTTCCCAGCTATTAGCAGTGGTAATATTGTTGCTTTGATAAGTAGTATTATTTGTGACTTGTTTTTGGCATTTCTCGTGTTTAAATTCTTTTTCTTCAGGGACCTTTATTATTTTTTACATTGAAGAGATACATGCGTACTTATTCCCCTAACTTCAAGCCTATGGGTATGAAAATGTGATGATTTTATTTATTCGGAAAGAAAATTATAATCTCCCTTCTTTTAAAGTCTTTCCTGTTTTACCTCATGCTTATAGAGATTAATATTGATTTTAAAAGTCACTTACCCTTGAATCTTAGAATATGATATGTCTGTCGTTTCTTTTTTTGTGAGCAGAAGTGGCTGAACAACCCCACAATGAATCTTTTGTCAAGATGAAGTGGTGGTGGTGGTACCTCCTTTTTGCATTAACTATTTTTGCTGGGATATTTTGGTTCATTCATACTCCTGAGGTAGAAACCACTGCTGTTCAAGAATTCCAGAACCAGATGAGACAACTTATGAATAAGTACCAAGGTCAAGATGAGAAGCTGTGGAAAAGAAGTCTAACGTTTCTGGAAAAACATCTTAATAGCTCCCATCCTCGGCCCCAGCCTGCCATTTTGCTGCTCACTGCTGCCAGAGATGCGGAAGAAGCACTTAAGTGTCTGAGTGAACAAATTGCTGATGCCTATTCTTCCTTCCGTAGCGTCCGTGCCATCCGGATAGATGGGACAGGCAAAGCTGCTCAAGACAGTGATATTGTCAAACTAGAGGTAGACCAGGAGCTGAGCAGTGGCTTCAGAAATGGCCAGAATGCAGCTGTGGTACATCGCTTCGAGTCACTGCCTGCAGGCTCTGCTTTGATCTTCTACAAATATTGTGACCACGAAAATGCAGCCTTCAAAGATGTAGCCTTAGTCCTTACTGTCTTGTTGGAGGAGGAGACACTTGAAACCAGTCTAGGCCTAAAGGAAATTGAAGAAAAAGTGAGGGATTTCCTCAAAGTCAAATTCACCAACTCTAACACACCCAGCTCCTACAATCATATGGACCCAGACAAGTTGAATGGGCTCTGGAGCCGTATTTCTCATTTAGTCCTGCCTGTGCAGCCTGAAAATGCCCTGAAAAGGGGCATCTGCTTATAAAGGAGGAAAGAAGAGAAAATCATGTCTCAAGTTCTGAGAATTTTTCACTTTCTAACCAGAACACACAGCATTTTTTTGAAAGAATTGGTTTCTTTTTAAAGGAAGTTCTTACATAAACATGAAACATCCAAATCATTTATCTAACCTAATTGTGACGAGAGAATCATTTCTCTGTTTCCATGAGAGCTAGGTTAAGGGTGTTTAGGAGAGAGTAACTTACATGCAATCCCCCAGAGGATCTATTTTGGCTCTGGGCTGAATCATTACTGCTGTGGTGTGACCAGTGAGAAGGATTAGGCTTCTTATGAATTGTCCCTGTTTTTTAAGTAGGTTTTTCATTTTGAGTTATTAGTAAGGCAGCTTTCTAATTGTAACCATAGATATTCCCATTGGATTTTCTTTTATACCATTCAGTATGAGTTCCTTAGTCAGCTTCTACTTACAGGAACAAAAGTTATGAAAGGTCATTGGGGCATACATTTAGATTTTTTCTTCCCTTTGTTTTGAGTGGTAGAGAGGAGGAAGAAAGGGAAGAGTGAGAAATTGTTGACTAGAGAAGGAAATGGGAGGAAAAAAAATAGTCTTTAGGATGAAATGTTACAGTAAGCCACTTGAGTGGTAGGTTAAACATCTGAACTGTTACTTTGGTGAATCCGGTTGGCATTTGTGTTTTTGTTTTCTTTTAAGATATTCTTGCTCAAGTGGTCGAGTGCTTGCTTAGCAAGTGTGAGGCCCTGAGTTCAATTCCCAATAAACCACCCCACAAAAAAATAAAATCTTGGTTCTCTCAAGGATTTTTAAAGCCTGTATATCATGAGGTCTCATATATTTCAGATATAATCTGAAGTTTTTGTATTAAAGAAATCCATATTCAGAAATTGGCAAACCATTTGTTAACCGGCTGTCCTGGACTATTGAGGAAGAATTTAATTTTCTGCTTGCCTACTTGTAACATTCTAAGTCTTTTCCTGACACTCCATAAGAAATATAAAGATTAACTATGCACATGATAAATTTTATTAAGAGTGCCTCAAGCCAAAAGGTAGTGAACCTTACCATATTTGAAGAATGTTAGCTTTATTTCTATACTCCTGTAGAGTTTTAGTTGAAAATTTGCATCTATACCTGAACTTGCTCATCAGTCAACTGTTTTGGTTTCTTAAAATGTTAAAATTCTAGGGATGGGACTGTAGCTCAGTGGTAGAGTACTTGCCTAGCATGTGCAAGGCCTGGGTTCAGTCCCTAGTGCTGAAAAGAAAAGGAAAAAACCTTAAAATTCTACCCATCTTGGGTTTTGTTGTTTTTGTTTTGTTTTAGTCTATAGTCATTTAAATGAAAATACTGTTTTAGAGTATGAGAACCACTTGTTCTTCATCATTTGCCCTGTGAGGTTCTCACGCCTAGTGGTAGAAAGTAGTATAATTTCTTTCCACTAGGATAGGAATCTATCCTAGCCTATAGGAATATAGGAATCTTTCCAATATTCATAAATGTTTTCCTTTTATTGTAATGTGTTCTATCAAGTCAGATCATCCGATTCATTTTATAAGGGATTATAAAACAGGAATTTTTGAAAAGGCTTATTTTATACATATTATATGGAGAAAGAAATGTTTTTATTAAATGTTTCACTGACCTAAATAATTTTAAAGTAGTATGTTAGTTTTATCTTTCAGAACAAACAATTGTAGTTGATGTGTAAATGACTTTAAAAGCTATTTTAGTAATTTAAATAAACTTACTTTCTTGGTTTGTACTTTTTTATAAATTTTTAATTATATATAATCCTTTTTTAAATTCAAGTATCTCTCTATATTTGAACAATTTTAATGCCTTTGGCTAGGAGAAACACATGCCAAAGGACTGGAGTCATTTACAAGTACATTGGTTAGAAGTAGAACACTCATAACTATTTTATCCAGGAATTTTGAATTATCATCCAAGTGGAGTTACTTTAGGTATTCCTGACTTCTTAAAAGAATCTTTCATAGGCTGAGGATGTAGCTCAGTGGTAGCGTGTTTGCCTAGCATCCACGAGGCTCTGGGTTCAATTCCAGTATGCAAAAAAAAAAAAACCTTGTGCCAGGCACAGTGGCTATAATCCTAGTTACTTTAGGAGGCAGAGATTGGGAGGATCTCAGGTTGATGCTAGTTCAGCAGGCAAAAAGATCGAGAGACCCCCATCTCCACCAATAAAAAGCTGGGCATAATGGTACATGCCTCTCATCCCAGCTATGTCAGAAGTATGATTAGAAGGATCTTGGTCCAGGCCAGACAGGATTTATGCCTATCTCAAAATAAAGCAAAAAGGGCTTGGGGGTGGTGGGGAGATGTGTGGCTCCAATACTATAATGCCTGCCTAGCAAACTTAAAACTCTTGAGATCAAATCCCAGTACCTCCAAAAAAAGAAAAAATCTCTTCAGTGGAGTTTCTTAAGCTTTTGATCACCTCCCTGAGAGCCTTTTTACATTTCCTATTCCTTTTAATACCTTCCTATGAAATTTTAATACCACATATACACTCTGTATTTGTTTATGGACTGTTGTTTTGGCTTCATACAAAATGGATAATTTTGCCTCCCATGAACCAGTTTTCACCCCCCATTAAGAATGCATGCTCAACACACAAGGGAGGGATGAGGATAGGTAAGACACCTAAAAAATTAGCTAGCATTTGTTGCCCGTAACGCAGAGAAACTAAAGCAGATACCTTAAAAGCAACTGAGGCCAATAGGAAAAGGGGACCAGGAACTAGAGAAAAGGTTAGATCAAAAAGAATTAACCTAGAAGGTAACGCACACGCACAGGAAATCAATGTGAGTCAATGCCCTGTATAGCTATCCTTAACCAGCAAAAACTCTTGTTCCTTCCTATTATTGCTTATACTCTCTCTACAACAAAATTAGAAATAAGGGCAAAATAGTTTCTACTGGGTATTGAGGGGGTGGGGGGGAGGGAGGGGGCGGAGTGGGTGGTAAGGGAGGGGGTGGGGACAGGGGGGAGAAATGACCCAAGCCTTGTATGCACATATGAATAATAAAAGAAAAAAAGAGAGAGAGAATGCATGCTCAAGAATGCCTATATTTTAAAGGAATGTAACTTGGTGCTAGAGCACTTGCCTAGCAATACACACGGCCCTGGATTGGATCCCCAGAACTGCAAAAAAAAATTTTTTTAATTACCATTTGTGGTGGAACAGATCTGTAATCCCAGCACTCAGGATGTTGAGGCAGGAGAGTCAAGTTTAAGGCCAGCTTGGAGTATGTAGCAAGGCCCTGTCTCAGAAAGCAAGGGCTGGAATGACTGGGGATATAGTTCAGTGATGGAGCGCTTACCTAGCACATGAAAGGCTGAGTTAGATCCGAAACACCACATACATCTCTATCTCTATATATATGTGTGTGTGTATATATATACATATATGTATATATAATTGCTGCTTAAAACTCTACTTTCTACTCATGTTTTGTAATCCTTTTAGAAGAGAAAAATAAGTCATTAGCCTGAAATAGGATCTAGAGTCTCTAGAAATTGAACATGCTTTGGGTGGCAGCAGTGGTCCAGGGAACACCACACAGTACAGTACCAGTTTTTAAATTTCCAGAACCTTAACTTGTTGCTCTTTTTTCAGTTACTTCTTAAGTTTCCTAAACCTCTAATTCTTAAAACAAAAGTTGGAAGTAAACTTGTTTTTATTCAATGAAAACTGTAACAGAGATGAAAAGATTTACATATTTCATACCATTAGTGCTTGAGCTAAAACTATAAATCCAATTCCCTGTGATATTACGTCTACAGAAAGTGACCTTTATGTTGGCTGTGTAAACAAGAAGTTCTCATTGAATGCATAAAGATAATGTACTATTTTTCTAGATTGTCCTTATCAAGATCAGAGAGCACAATTTTGGGGATGAGGAAGTGGGATCTTTCCCTAAGAAAGGTTTTATTAGAGTTAACTACTGAGGATGAAGTAAGTCCTGAGCCCTGGGAAGCCAAACCAAGAAGGTTGCCATGGACTGGAAGAGAGGGAAACTCCATTTTATTTGTTTTGATGGTAGTAGGGTTTGAACTCAAGACCTCATACACTTACTAGGCAGCTGCGCTACCACTTGAGCTACTCCTTTTTTGTGTTGGGTATTTCCAAGAAGGTCTCGAACTGTTTGCCTGGGCTGGCTTCATGCTGAGATCCTCCTGATCTCTGCCTCCTGATTAGCTAGGGTTACAGTTGTGAGCCACTGGCACCAGGTGAAACTCCATTATTGATTGCCTGTCTCTGGTCTGGATTCAGAGAGGTCCTAGTGTGCTTAAGGGCCCTTCTGGATGGTAGGGAGAGTCCAGCCTGTCACCTGAGCATGAACAGGGAAAACACCTTGCCCTCTATATTCGGTGCAATTTCCTAAGCACGTTGTGCTCTTTTGCACATTTTTAGACTCTTTTGGAATATTTCCTCTTTTCCTGCCCTCTCCCTTCCCCAGTCTCTTTTTCTTGGCTAATTCATATTTGTTCTTAAAGCCTTAGTTTTTTTAGGTAGAATTTAAATAAAATCTTCCCTAATTTCCCTTTCCTCAATACAATACTGTTTTAGGTGCCTTCTCCCCCACCCCCAGTAGCTTAAACAGTAAGCCCTTTATGATTGATTTCAAAAGGCAGCAGTGTAAAGTGAGTTCCTGGGTTAAGTGACTTGGAGGCTGGAAAAGTTCATCACCAGCATCATGAAACAACCAATAATGACCCCGAGAAAAGGAAACTAGTGTAAGCTGCTAGATGAAGCCAGCTCTTGTCCAAAACTGATCATGTCCACGCCAAACCAGTCAGGGGAATGAATGAGTCCGTGCAAAGGGCTCAAGTGACCACTGAATCCTGCAGATAAAGGGAGATAGATAGCACAGTGTTCCTGCCTTTCCTGAACACTTTAAAGTGACTTAAGGTGATGCCTACTGGCTAGGTCCTCCTCTTTGTGGTCTCATTCACCCTACATTACACTTGTCATAGCATTAACATACTTACACTGCTATATGTAGGGAGCAGGAAATGTTACCAATACATTAATGGTGATAATCACAGAAAGCTTCAAATATTTGTTGAGCTGAGCACAGTGGTGCGTGCTTATAGTCCCAGCTAATCAGGAGGCAGAGACAGGAGAACTTCTTGAGCCCAGGAGTTCAGGACCAGCCTGGGTAACATAAACCTTACCTCTTAAAAAATTTAAATTGTTGAATAATACATTTTTGTTTCTTGGTGGCAATTTGTTTTTAAGCTACTCATAGTTTTTTTGGTTTTATGACAGGGTCTTAACTATGTTGCCCAGGGTGGTCTCAAACTCATGGGCTCAAGCCATCCTTCCATCTCAGCCTCCTATTAGCTGGGCCTACAGGTATATACCACCACACTTAGCTTCTCACAGCTTAACTTGTCTTCCTTTTATCTTCAAAAAGATGGAAAAGACTTATATAAAGATCTTTCTACATGTGTGAATATGTTGTATTAAGATGTCCCTCTTTGCTATTTTTTTCAGCTAATAAGTGCTGGATAATGCTGTAACCAGCATTCCAAGTACTTTGTACATATTAAATGATTTAATTCCCATAACCATGTGAGATGTATTAACTTAATAGGAAACTGAGGCACAGAGATAAAGTGAATTCAAAGTGGTGGAGCAAAGATTCAAACCCAGACAAATTTGGCTTTTGAACATCATTTTGACCACTTAGATGTTCACTAAGTCTCAACATTTGTTCCACATTTGGCATCTTTTCCAATCTATTCAGGTTCTACCAAGGTTATATTCAACTTGTCAATTCTTATTTGTGGGTCTCCTTTAAACTCTTTTTTCCTTGTTCAGCATTGTGGGAACCAATAAAGTACACACGAAGGATCTGAAGAATTTTGAGTGAAATGAGACACACATTTATGTACACAGGTGTCATGTTTTTGTAACTAAAGTTACTGCGATGGTACTAAGAGGAAAGTTTATTGCAAAAAGTACCTATATCAAAATACAGATTTCAAATAAACAACTTGCTATACTTTGGCTCTGGAATGTTCTCCATAGGCCCATGTGTCACAGGCTTGGTCTCAAGACTGGCAGCATGCTCAAGTGATAGAAGTTTGCCTAGCAAACATGAGGCTCTAAGCATCACAAAAAAAATTTTTAATGGAAAAGAAAAAAGACTTGGTCCCCAGCTTGTCACTATTGGGGGTGCTGTAGAAACCGTCATTTGTTTATAGTAGTACTAGGGTTTGGACTCAGGGCCTTGTACTTGCTAGGCAGGCACTCTACCATTTGAGCCATGCCCCGGCCCTGGGGGAACTTTAAAAGATGGGGCCTAGAGGGAGGTCTTCAGGTCACTGAGCATATGCCCCAAAGATGATTGTGGGATACTGGTTTCTCCTCCTCTTCCCCCTCTCTTACCCTCCCCAGATCCTTTGCCACTCTCCCCTCTCCTCCTCCTCCCCCCCCCTTTTTTTTTTGCTTCCTGGCTATGAGATGAATGGTTTTGCTACACTGTGTGCTTCTAGCAAGATACATTGTCTTGCCACAAGCCCAAAAGTAACAGGTTCGATCAATTATACAGTATAAGCTCCAAAACTGTGAGCCAAAATAAACTGTCTTTATAAGTTGACAATCTTGGGTATTTGTTATAGTGATATAAAGCTAACAACCTAATGATATAACTCAAGGAACTAGAAAAGAACAA